CCTTTCCAACCTCGACGAGCACATTCGAGGCTGTCCCGCAAAACATGGCCTTACAGTTGGCTCCATGCAGAATACCGCAGTCAGAACGGTCTATATCCATCCCAAATCTGATCGCGTCCGCCTCCCGAATAATGTTCATCTCTGCCCCGGTGTCCACCATTGCTGCGCACTTGGAACCCTTCACCATCAAATCCACCGTACCGCAGGCTACGCACTTCCAGTCCATCTTCGTACCTGACTCTACCCACTCTGCCTCCTTGGGCAGGATCGTACCCAGATGGACATTGGGTACCAGGCGCCGTGATAACCTCCCCTTCAGTTCGTTGCGGAGTCGCGGGGCTGACGCTAGGATTTCCTTCAGGGTCATGAGGTCATTATGCCATTCCAGCAGCCGGTCAATCACCTTCTCTACGTCAAATCCTTCTTCCAACCGGACCGCGTATTTCTTCTTTTTGGGCGGTCCGTCATGTATGACCGGTTCGGCCTCTCCCCTGGCCCCCTTTTTCCTTGCCCGCTGCTCCGCTCTCTGATCCTCTTCTCTGCGCAGCCTCTCGTCCTCTTCCTCTTCATCATCGTCGTCCTCTACTTCCACAGCTTCTTTCCTTCTCCCTGGTTCGTTTTCCCTCCTTGGAGGCTCTTGACTGGTACTGGCCTTGGCTTGATTCCTCGTTCGCGCTGCCTGTGCCAACCGGGCCTGCGGAGTGAGGGGTCTCCCCCTCATTCCTGATTGTGGGCACGACCCCACCACATTTACTCCGGGTCGCCCAGGTGCTGACTCCGAGCCGGAGTCATAGAGGAATACTGTGGGGATGTTAGACCTCCATCCTTTCACTTCTTTACAGAGGCCTACCAACTTCTATTGGTACCTCCCCATCTTATCCAGCAAGTCCTCCATCTTCTCAAATAAGACGGACGGAGGCTCCGTTCTTTCCTCCTCATCCTCGTCATCTGACTCGATGATTATAGCCTCTTCCGTCTCACTTCCTCCTCGTAGCCCTTGAGTCGCTTCCTCATCACTTCCCACTTCTTCCACCCCAAACGGTGGTTCCTCCTTTTCCTGCCATAGCCTGAACATGGCAGGGAGCGGTGGCCCCGCTGCCGCTCTTCGTTGGGCTTCAGCCCTCACTCTTCCAGCCTTCTGTCAATGGCCTCCCCAAACTGATCGTAGATATTCTTATCCATAGTAGAGGAAATCAGTCCGCTTCTCTCGTCTTCCCGTCTTATATTACAGAACCTTATAGTGTGGCCCTGCTGGTCACAATGTTAACAAATGACCGTCCTCCAGTCAAAGCGGGGTTTTCCATACCCCTGACTTCCCTGATCCCCCTGGCCTTGATMCCCCTTGCCTTGATAGCCCTGGCCTTGGTACCCCTGGCCCTGACTCCCTTGGCCTTGGTACCCCTGGCCTTGACTCCCTTGGCCTTGGTACCCCTGGCCTTGACTCCCTTGGCCTTGGTACCCCTGGCCTTGACCATTCCATTGCCTTCCTCTCCCGCCGCCATTCCTGCCTCGCCCCTTTCCTCCACCCCTCCCTCCACTGCCTTGATTGCCCTGCCCCTGGCTCCCACCCCCTACAACACTGCCCTGTGAACTGGGATCAGGTGACGGTGGCGGGGCCACAGGTTGGGCCTGGGCCGCGGGGTAGATGGGTGGTGGCATACTCATTTGTGGTCCGGCTACTGGCGGCGTACTTCCCCATGGCACAATTGCGTTGATCACCGGCCAGGACCACTGTCCATAGGAGGGCGCCCCACCTTGCGAGAGACCCGTACTAGACGAGGGAGCCGCCATATTTAAAGGGGTTGCTGCCTGGGTTTGAGGCGCCTGCGCTTCTCCTGATCCTTGTCCGCCCTGCGCCAAATTACGCACTTTGCGCTGGACCTTCGTCAGGTGCTGCGGCACCGGCTCTTCCTCTTCCCAAAGTTCCTCCTGACCAGCCTCCTCTATCACTGGCTCTTTTCCTTTTACTTTGACAGCCGTCACCACCCTCCTTTGCACCACTGGCTCTGTCGCATACCCTAGTTGTGCCAATATGTCTGTAACAATCCTTGTTACTCCCGGGGTCCCAGAAGCGGTCGTATCTCTTTCCTTTCTCTTCTGTCTTTGCAGGCGTACCTGACGTTGTTCCACCTGGTCCAAGCACCCAACTTCCACCCCTCTGTCAATGGTGGCCCAGGTGACCTTAGTGCTACCTCCTCCATGTCTCGGTAACTCGACGGCCTCCGATGTTGTGAGTAGCCCCAGGAAGATGGCGCACTGTGCTTCCTCCGAAATCCCATGGACCTTCCGCGCCCTCTTCTTAAATTCTTGNGCTTCCTCCGAAATCCCATGGACCTTCCGCGCCCTCTTCTTAAATTCTTGAACAAAGGCCCCTATAGTCGTAAAATCCACTTTGTTCATCGCTTCAAGGTCCGTGGTAGTCAACAACCCGTCTCCCAGGCGGTATTTCCTCTGCATCCCCTCCTTGAACCTCTCCCAGCTACCTTGAGCCGCATCTATGACTTTCTTCACCTCCTGATGGTAGCTGTGGAGGACATACTGAAGGATGCGTTGAAACTTTACAACATCCGGCCGCCCGACCAAAGCTTGTTCCACCCGCTCTAGCCATTCTGAGACTTCCTCCCCACAAAAATGGAAAGTATCGACCTTTGGGACGTTGCTCGGGTTCCTTTCATGTCGGTCGATGGCCGTGATGAGTTCATCGAGTGTCAGGCCCTTCTTGGGAACAACTGAAGCGCCGCCAGTCTAAGGCATCTTGACAGCCTCTTCTCTTTAAGTTCCCTGGCAAAAGAAAATAAGCACATCCCCTTATTCAACATTATACCTTGACTGGTCTATTCCATCCGTCCTACCTAACCCTCAGTACTTACTTCCCCCAATGTTAACACGATCGTCCCTCATACTTCCTCTACTTGGGTAGGTAAATTTCCTCACCTACACTTAGTCATTCATATATTCCTTCATTACCTTCTCATCACTCCTTTATGCCTTTTCTTATTCACTTCTCATACCCGGATGTCGTTCCACCAGGGACAATGGTAGGCTTTCCGTTATCCCGGCAACGGCGCCACCTGTCGTGCGCATCGGTCCGGCACCGCACGGGGGCAGCGTGGGACCCTCCCGGCCGCGTCACGCAGGAGTTGATTTTTAGAACCCTTCGTCGCAATATACATGGAGCTTCCGCAAGCCGCTCCGGCCGGGTGCGCCAGCCATACCTCTCGCGAGTCCCTACGACAAGATAGGCCTACGCGAGGCACGACTTACCTACACCTTACGGGAGCTGTCACCTGCCTTCGGTGGGCGTATCCCCGCCGAGCTACCAGTCCACAGTACGAAAGCTAATCAGCTGCAATCGCAGAGGTGGACCAGCCGAGGGCGATTCTCGTTCGCTGTAGCATAGGGGGTATGCGCGGTAATACACCTCTATCAGACCCGCACGCGAACCGACATCTTGGGGGGGCTGAGGTCCCAGGCGCGATTCATCGCCGGTCGACTAGGACGCAACCCATACACGACGCGCACTCCACTTTACGAACACACATACACACAAAACAACATATATACGAAACGACACAATACCAACAACGCGACAAAGCTCCTAGCCCCTCGGTGGTCAACCCATAACTTTCCAATGCGGAAATCGGATAGGCGTCGCGTGCTGAACTTAGTATAAAACCGCGCGGACGCAGGGCTTACTCATATCGACTTGCAATGCAGGCGCACACAAGCAGTCGCAACGATGGCGTACTATGTAGTGCCCATAATCAAGCGGTCCCTCGTGGATCCGAGTACCGCTTATGACACTCAAGTGTCAGACTTGAAGTAGTGTGAGGGCCTAACCCTTCACGACATTACACGGCTGAAGGAATAGTCGTGCAGCCGTCGAGGCACCTCAGGCTCTCGACCTGAGTGTCACGGTGGGCAAATCAAATAGGCTCCGCGCGAGGGAAAACCCCTCCCCTGCAGAGCCTAGGGCTTGGGATGTCATGGACAAGGACCTCGAATCCCGGCCCAGGACCAAATGTCCGACTAAGAAAATCATCAAAAAGCAAGAGACAAGAATAAAAGGAGAGACCTCCCCTAAGCCCCTCAGTCTCRGCTTYTGAGTAGGGCTCTAATGTGGGGCTCTTCAATCTATGMAAACATTCATCCCAAGTATACCCATGTATRCATATATAAGGGTTTAGTATGTGACGATCACTTTTCACGGTCTCACTGGGGTTTCTCACAATAATACGTATATGTGTGATCGTAGGCAACCAAATCCAGAATCTGCTTCACAGCACATTCCTGTCATCACATCAACGAACCAAATCAATAGCCCACACACTACACCAAGTCAACCCCAACCACCTTCGACACTCATACCCCTCGCTTTAGCCATGCAAGTCCCAAACCTCTTGTCCAACCAACCTTAATTAAATACTCAGCACCTTTGTTAAATGGCCATTCAATAAAAGTCTGGGTGAAACCTTAATAAAACAACGAAATCACCAGGGCTAAAGTCTTTTAGGTTGAGTGTAGAGGGAGAGTTGAAATTGAGTCGTAGACCGACGAATCACCAACCGACCTGTTATCAGTGATAACAGTAAGAGATCCTCAAGGGATCAAGCTGAATCTAACCCTGAACTTGGATCAAATGATCAAAAGAACCTGTAACACACGGCAGACCAATTCCCAAGCTAAGATCATAAGTGTATGGAGAATACAACTTCATAATACATCCTCACTCAAAAACTCCTTATAAGCTAAACCTAAGTCTACTTTTAAGTCAGTGCTTAAGCCAAAGGTAGATCAACTGCAAAAATCTCCCCTATTCTAGGTGGATCGCCTGAATCTCCTATCAAAATATAATCTATCTCCTCTAAACTAAGAAAATTTTGGTAGCGCTTCCCGTAGGAAAAGTGTCATTTTCATAATTTATATAAGCCGAGATATGAAAGCAGAAATAATCTCTAACTCTTGAAAGTCAAATTTTGTCCAACTCTCTGAATTAGTAGAAATTTGGGCAGCACCCCCTTTGGAAAGGGAAACTTCCCAGATTTATACTAAGTCAGATATGAAAGCAAAATTAATCTCTAACTCTGGAAAGTCAAATTCTGTCTAACTCTCTAAATTAGTAGAAATTTGGGCAGCACTCCCTTTAGAAAGAGAGACTTATCAGATTTATACTAAGTTAGATATGAAAGCAGAATTTATCTATAACTCTGGAAAGTCAAATCCTGTCTAACTCTCTGAATTAGTAGAAATTTGAGCAGCACTCCCTTTAGAAAGGGAGACTTCCTAGATTTATACTAAGTCAGATACGAACTCGAATAACAGCTCGAGCTCAACTTTTAGACTGAATTTAACTAACTCCTTAATTTTGCAGAAAATTCGGCAGCAATCCCCCTAGAAAAGTGCTCTCTCAAAATTTATACAAAGCGAGGTCCAAAATTTGAGAATAACTTTGACTTCTCAAAGTCCAATTTTTTCTAACTCCCTGAATTAGTAAAAATTTGGGCAGCACTCCCTCTAGAAAAAGAGACTTTTCATATTTATACTACTCCATATATGGAAAAG